TACCCCCTTCCCCCCCCCCCCCCCCCACAAAAAGAACTGCTAAATTCTGTACAAATTTGTCGACAGAAATGAGGTGGCAGTTATTTGGCCCTTAATTTCAATTTCATTCATTCAAGTCAAGGGACAAAAAATTGTCATCTCATATTCTATCAACAAATCTATAACCCAATTTCTGTACAAGTAGCAAAATTATTTTTTTCTTGCTCCTGCTGGCTCAGACTAAGCTAGACACAGCTTGCCTTCAAAGGTGGCCAGCCACAACCCAGTGCCAAATGTTGAGCTAGTCACCATGTGTCTATCCAACCCAATCCAACACACTTTTACACCACTGTTATATTGTAGTGATTAAATCCGACTTCGATGTGTCGCATCAATAAAATCAGCTCATGCGGAGACCAATGCAAGCCATCTAGGCTCAACAAACTACCTTGAACTAGCACGGCACTGGGGAAAAAAAAAAGATTTTAAATTAATTTATTGATAACATGAAAAAAAAAATAGAATGTAATTTCACAACTGCACCAAAGAAAAGCCTAATCAATAATGGCAAGATATTACAAAGATGCAGCAGCATGTTTAGGACCTTCAACTCTTTTTAGACCTCCTTTTCAGTTCGTGAGTTTACACCCCCATTTCAGAAGGGGATGATATTATCAAATTGTGGTTGTCATTACTGGGAGATATTGCAGTAGCCGTCGGAGATGTCATGAGTGGCATGGCAGTAATTTTTGCAACACCATTGTTAATAGGCTGTTGAGTCCTGCTTTCACTTCTCATATTTATAGTGTCATTGCTGGTTATTTCTGTTTCATCTGGTCGTGACAGCAAAGAATACTTCGTTTCTGTATGAGAACAGAGAATTACTCAAAATTATGAAATAAAGGTAAAGTAAGTAGAATTCTTAAGCAACAATCAAATCATGCGACCTCATTGAACCTCATGAACATTTGAATACCAAGCATCATAAAGTGCATACCCAGTAGTAGACTGAACTGCTCAGGACAGTAATGAACAGGATTTAAACTTCATTTCCTTCGTTAATACAGTTGAGTACTATATAATCCTCTCTTCCAAACATGCTCATTATGATACACAGGACTGCACAGGGATGAACATAATCAAAGAAGCAAAATATGTGAAATATTTGTTCATCATTGTGCAGTCCAAAATACCAAACTTACTTGAAAAGACATTTCTTCTTCTAACTGATAGACATATCCCTTGTTTTACGCAGATTAACATGATAGGCAGTTTGCACATACATCTATCTTAATTATTGAATATTTCTCTCAGTAAATGGGTAAATTCAGTAGGAAGAGGTTCGGAGAAGATTTCTATTAATGGCTTGATGCTTTACAGGCAAGACCAACCCCTCGATCAACTTGGCTTCCCTTTCAGTGTCCAGCAATCCCAATGTTTCTTACAATTTCGCTTCTAAAATGTACACCACTATTAACTTGTTGGTACAGAAGATTGGATATCACCGGATAGTATTATGGAAGAAATTGTTAAATCTTGCTCAATTTACTATGAGTATTCACACTAGAAAGGAGGAAGCAACCTTGCATATTATTATGCTAGTCAAGCTGCATCTAATTTTTCACTTTCTTGTTTGTGGGTGGAGAAGGTGTACGGGGGACAGGGGAGTAAGTGAAAACATGTCACCTTATCTACTGTAGGCCCCTATTTGAGCTACATTATTTTCAAAAAAATATATTCTGCAATAGTAATTTGACATCATTTCAACCACACATTTTTCAATAAAATAATATTACACACAAATCTAAAACTTTTCCTTATTTTTAACCACACATTTCCCTTTGTTTTGACATCAATAATGCATTTTTTTCCCTATAATGTGACTCAAACAAGCCCTAGATATAAACATTCTTAAAAATTTTAGGCTTCCCTTGTTAAAGAAAAAAGGTGCATTGTACTTAGGATGATGGCCTATGGACAATTTGTAAGGTCTCCAATGAGTTTTAGTGGCTTTGTCCTAGTAAAAAGTAGCCAAATTTTTCTTATTTTTTTTAACAGTCTGACAGAAAAGATCGAGGTTAAAAGCCTAATGGACAGAGTAATAGAAGGATGTGAATTAGCACCATTAATTTAAGTTACAGATTAGTAAGCCAATAATTATGAGTGTTTGAGTTGCATTGACAAATGAAACTAGATAAATTTTTTGACAAAACTTGTGGAGTAGAATAAACTTTTAGTTGAATTTCTTAGGAGTTTTAAGTTTAATCAGAAAATTAAACCACAAATTATAATGATTCTCAAAAAACTGAGGTCGTGGCCTCATTATATTTGGCATCCACAGCGAAGGGAGGAAATGATTTCTCATGTATCAGTTATTGTTTCATTAATGAAACTTGACCGCAACAAATATGTTTATAAATTCATAATAAAGGTACAAGAGTAAAGCAAGAGATGTGATAGAACTTACCTTTTATTTCTCCTAACGTGACGAGACGGTTAAGACAATCACGGAATTTTGTCAAAACAATTCTTTCTTGCTCTATATAGGCTTCAGTGAGGCATTTCCCTTGCTGCAACTGGGAAGACACGGTACTATGGTCCACTAATCCATTAACTGTAGTGGTGGTAAACATCATATCTTGCTCGTCACACATCAGTGCTAATGTACTGGGAGACATTGGCCTTCTTTTTGATACATCAACTTCATCTGAAACAGATGTGTCAGGGCTAGCCTTCTTGGCATGGTCTCCACTTAAGACATCATCAGTCAAAGGTTTCATAATCCCATGATCCTTTTGGCTTTGATGGTTATCTTGTGTTGATGAAGGCAGTGAGCATTCGCTGCAGTCCTCTGCCTGCTTCTCCGCAGTATTTCTTTCCTCTAGAAGTATTACCATAAGTTAGCAGATTAGTTTCATATATCAAAGAGGGAAAAATCAACTTGCTACATAACTCGGACTGTTAAAAATGCTTTGAATTATCCATACAGAAACCCGACAGTTGAACAAGAATCTGTCAAGTTTAGTGAAACAGGGATATGGGGTGTGTGATATTTTGTTGGTCATAAGATCAGAAAGCATATTTATAATGTTCGATATTTATAATGTCATAAGATGTGGAATTTGAATAGTTGACATTACATTTGATAACACTCTAGGAGTGTATTCAGGCTTTTCAACTTAATTTTTTCACATATTGGCATGAAGTCATTGAACTATTTAACTAGATGTCAAGAATGAAGTGACAAATTATTTAAAATAATATCGTTAATTTCAAAGCAATTACTTTAAGGCCTGCCACTACAAGGGAAAAAGGTCTTTCATTGGAAATGAATTGTGTACAAAAATCAATTCTAGAGGAAAATGACCTGATAAATATCAACTAGTGTTGAAGATATCTGAATCAAGTCGTTGTTGAATATCCATAACCCAGAAAAGAAAATGATCCAAAAACAAATAGGAAAGGGAAATGAAATAAATACAACCAAGATATTTTTAATGAGTAACAATAATAGCAAAGGAAAGAGAGCTCATTGATAAGCAAATCAGTTAATTGAGAATTATAATGCACTTACATAATTGGAAGTTTTTCATTTTATTATGGACAAATTGAAATACTATCCAATATCCATACATTAATTTAGTGGAGACTTAACATTTATTAAAAATGTGATTCCCTGTCTGGTTTCCGCTGGCTCAAACCTATTGAAGGGACTACTAGACAACTTACAACAATTTTTCTAGATATTCTACAAGTTAAGAACAACAATAAGTGACGTACATACCATGTATTCAACAAACTCCATAAAACTAACTGCAAATTGACTGAACTTTTCAGTCTTTCTTATTAATACCTGAAGGAATTTTAAACAACGGCATTGCTAGCTAGTTATATTAATGTGAACATCATGCGTGGAAAGCTTTTTGACTGACAAATTGAAGTATAAATCTCTTAAAAAGATACAGAAACCAAGACGTTTAGAGAACTTTAGGGAAAACTAATAATCTGTGCAATTTGTGAATCCTTATATAGCCATAATTACCTGCAAGCATTTTGGCAGCCTCTCCTGAATATACCACTAACACTGAGCAAAGCTCCTTCAAGTCCTGGGGCTGAATGATGTCAGCTAAGAGAGACCTTAAGGCAAAATGAAATAGTTATTAAGTTGTCTGCAAGTGCTTCTGAATAATTCTTCAGAATGTAAATATACCTGTAAGTAAATTTTGAAGGACCCAACGCTGACCCAGTACCAGGACGAGCACCAGGAAATGATGACTGGGAAGTGGAAGGTACAGAAGCCTTGATTTGGTCAGCCTGTAAGTGCAAAAAAATAGAAATCGAAGCTAATTATAGATTGTTCCTCCAGTCAATGTTTAAAAAGGTTCGATCAGACACTGAGGCAATTTATATCCATGAAACAAGACATAAGCCTCAATGCAGACCAACAAAACAATTTTTATAGTTGATTGTAATAAACCAGACAGCATGTTTAAGATCCTAACAAAACAATTTAACAAAATTAAAAGCCTAATTTGCGAAAAAACGTATAATAGATCAATATGGAAGCAAAGCAAATAGTAAATCTTCGAATTAGTTATCACATAACAATATCAATAAATCACTAATACAACTAGAGAAAGCCTAAAAGCCTTCCATAAATTATCATCATATTTGATTCCCCTATTATCGTTCTCGTCACCATAAATTTCCATTCTATTTTCTCATTTCCATTTGCAATAGTGCAATATTTTTAGAACCTCAAAATTTTAAGTATTTTATTGCATACAATTTAATTGCCAATTAATAGAAATGTTATGTCTAGTCAAGTCTTTATGCAAGTCAATTTATTATGCTCAATAGTTAATTGAATCTATATAGATATCCTTAATAGTTGAAGGACCAAAGTCGAACTAAGTATTAAATTTTACACTTTTAATTGGACTAAATAGTTAACTATTGAAGGAGTTAGAATTACTCTATTAATATTAGGCTCACTTTGAAGCTCGTAATAATTGTCAATTATTGACTCAAGAAAAAATTAATTTAAATAAGCCAAATTCGAGTACTAACTAAGAAAACTACTTAGTTAATAATATTAGTTTTCAATTTAGACCAAATTAGTATAGCAATATTGGACTCATTTGATAACGTATAATTCTTGTACATTAAGTTCTAGAAAAGATATTTTTGAATAAGCTCGAATTAAATTAGGATAGATAAGAGAAACAAGATGTAAATGAAATTGTAAATAATTAATTTCCTTGCCCTAAACAGAAAACAACCAATTACCGTTTTAGGAAAACTTAAATAGTTTAAGCTCCTGTTTGGTTTTTTTTTTTTTTTTTTTTTTTTCAAATTTTAATGTTTGGAATAGTGTTTTTTTGAGAAAGTATCGTTGAGAAAGAAGAAAAAATTTTGATTTATGTGTAATATTATTTTATGGGAGATTGTATGGTTGAAAATAAGAGAGAAAAATTGAAAGAGAAAGGGGCCAAACAGAAGCTAGGTATGGATAATTATAAAATTAATCTTGATTAGTTTAAACCTGCATTTTGCATTCGAATAGGAATGGAGTTAATTTTATATTATCCTAATTAGTTGTTATATTAATCTAATTTAATTCGGATGGAAATTAAATGTAAATCTTTAATCATGTAGGATTTGAATTGTTATAAGTTTTCTAATGAACTTTAGTAGTTAGCCCCTAATTGGTATTGATTTAAATCAAATTTTAATCTAAATTAAAGTCAAACAATTTATATTAAACAGATCTTTCATTGGTCTCACAACTTGTCAATCACATTTCAAAAACTTTTATCAAAATTTACTAAAAATCTAATTTTAATCACCATCAAGCAAAGGCTTAAATTAATCTAGAATTCTAATTAATTTAAACTTGCTAGGTTGAATAGTAATATATTTACCTTTAAAAAAATTAATAAATAAAAAACTTTTCAAAAAATGAATAGTAATATAATTTTGGCCAGGTTGTATATTAATGAAAATGGATTGGTTAAGTTCAATTAAGAAAATATACAAAAATAGATTAAAATTAATTTAATTTTAGTTAGTTATCAAATCAACCGTTAACTGGAGAAGGCTATTAGATATACAAATACTTGATACGGATAAAAATTATACTCTATTATCTAATTGAAATAGCTTATAACTAATATTTGATTAGTATGCATGAAACACTAGTTGTTCAATTCTAGTAGGAGACTTTTATGTTTATCCATTATAAATCTTCATCCACGTTTTTGTTACTATATAAGATACACAATATTGGAGGAATAAATCGCATCAAATTTTCTTCCAATAAAGCATTCTCTGCAACAAAACACCTCTCTTTCTCTCACGCACAAACACAAAAATAATATTGATTTTTTTGCAAAGAAAAGGGGGCCTCATACACCAAGTCTTCGAATGTACAATAAAAAATCACTTTTCATGCAATTTTGATCTCCAAATTCATTTCAAAAGGTGAAGTACTCAGTGCTAATAGTGATTTTTTCACATCTTTTCAAATAAAATGTCATGTATGAATTTAATTACTTTCAGTTCAAGGCTCTTTCGGAAGAAATCATGATACAGTTTAAGACATATCTTCGGGTATCAATTAGCCTCCATGTTATTTGATAGCACTTGCTAGAATTATCATTTTTCATGATGTGATAATTCTCAATTTGTTGGTAAGAGGGTTTATGCATAATGCCCATGTTTGGCCTCCATTAATTTTTATTTGAATGTGTAGCCCTCTTTATTCACAATTTCAGGTGAAAATTAGCATATTGGACGGCGCTGGATGGATGTGACATTGGACAACGAATCTTCGTCATGAAGTATTTTAACTTTAAGAAATATTAGAATTTTTGAAAGCATTTGGCTATTTTTTCTAGAATGAGACCCTATTGTGAGTAGCATTATGATTTCAATTAATCCAATTTCAATTGCATATTAAAACTAGTTTTATTAATATTTTGATGTATGATATGATCTCAAAATGTTCAGCATAATTTGATAGATTAAATTTAACTTTTATTAAAGGTTTTCATTTTTTATTGAATATGTCTATTTTATTGAATTTTTTTTTTTTTTTTAAAGCACGTTAAGAAATTCGTATTTGGTAATGCGTTGGGTTGCTAGAATTCGGGGCATCACAATGTTGTCTTCCCTTCCTCTTTCCCATGCTACCCCATCCTCTCCCCCCTCTTCCTATAAATTCCCAAAAGAGGACAAAATACAAAGACAATAAAAATACATAAAAAGAAATAAAAGAGAGAAATTTACATACATCTCTATCTTTAGATGTTTTCTACTGAGAAGATGCAAGTTCCTAGGGAGAGTGGCTTGTTGCATTTCATTTGCTCTCTTCTCCAATTCCCTTTTCAGTTTTCAAGTTTAGGGTTGTGTTTAAAGTACCCCAGAATCCTTAAATGTTAATTGTACTATTATAAAATATTTATTTTTTATAAAAAGTAAATGACAGAAGGTACTACAATAAACCAGTTAAAAAAACTGAGACCAGGAATAAGACAAAAGCATACGCACTTTAGCCATCTCGAGGCTAGTGCCTTAACGGTGCACCTCGATAGGCCAAGGCATAAGCCTTGACAAATGGCAATCAAGGCGTAACCCTCAAGCGCTTGTTAAACAATGGCTCCAGATGTCCTTAATGAAAGTCTCACGTGAGATGCACCTCAAGGCATAACCCTCAAGTGCTTGTTAAATTGTGGATCCAGATTCTAAGATACAAAAGAAATACAATTTGAAGGACAGTAGAGAAAACAAAATGTTAATGAAGCCATAATTGAATTAAGTTTTAACCACTCTTCCAAATTCCGAGTACGACTAGAAGTTTAACTAGTCCAAGTTCATTTGTCTCGGCAACCATATACAGTTAGCAGGAATATAATCACTGAAATGCTTGACTTTTAGAGGAAAAGAATTTTATTTACCTGTTGGAATTGCCCAACCCCATGGACGGGATCTTTTCCTCCAAAGAAGAGCTCCTGACCTTTTCTTTTCTTGTTCAGAGGAGGAGATCCATAACCAGAGGATCCAATAGCACCTGTGATGGCAGCATTCGCCGCTTGCTGAATATACACCATGTTGTTGGCATGATCTCCATGAAAGAGAGCCTGCCTCTCTTCACTTCCTTCATAATTTTTGCAGTCTATGCATTTACAATTATCAGAACAAAGAATATTTGCTTGGAAGCACTCACAATACTTCTTAAGGCATCCCGATTTCTTGCAGTGGCATCCTTTATTATGCTTACCCAAGATTAAATCCCTAGCATCCTCCTGCATAGATTTCCATATCAACTCATACATTGTCATTGGAACAAACAAAATTAAAAAATCAAAGATTCAAATATAGTGAAATGTTCTGGAACTTTTGTTACTTCACCAAAGTACATTTTTACTTTGTTAGAAGAAAATACTAAATTTTCAATTCAAATCGGATTTCATCACTTGGAAAGTGTAGTCAATCTCCAAATCCTAGTAGGCTAAGAAAAGAAATCAATTTACTAAAAATAAAAGAAAACTAATAGCCTGCTCCTAATAGAAATACACATTCTATCAACAAAATAACAAAACTGAAATAAAATAAAATCCCAATAACTTGCAAAGTAGGAATAGTGTTTGCATTTCAACAGTCTCACCCACATGAACAAAACTTGTTCTCTTGTTGGACGAGAGAAGAGAATACAAAATAATCAGGAGGAAAATATGCAAAAAAAAATTGCTAGCCTTCTAATCTGCTTCGGAAAAGAGCCATGAGATGGTGTCATGCACTTCAATTTTCTCTTTTTGAATGGTCATATCTCCAAATCCTTGACTCTTCTAGTTCTAGTAATATGAGAATTAGTCAACTATTCTTGGCTAACTTTGGCCAATTGCTTCATTATGTTTCACCACCTTTCAGTTTCTTCAATTAATATTCTATTGCTCTCAATGTCATTACAAACAAATAAAATCTTGAGAATCAGTGATCAATTTGTTATTGTTCCTTCAAAAGATGTGTGAGCATCGATTTTCACATTTTTGGTTGCAGAACTAGAACTCCTTTATGACAAGATTCTCCTCCTGCAGAAGTTTCTCCAAGCCACATTATTAGACTAATTCAATAGGCACTTCCTTTACTGAGGGTGTATCACACCTCCCTTTAGACACTGATGACATTTTGTATAATTAGTTCCATATTGCATCTCTAATGCATCATAAATCGCTCTTACTCCTCGACAAGTTTCTCATTTAAAAGCTTCTGCTACCAAATCTATGTTGATGGGATCAAATTGATGCAAATGAAAGTATATGAATATTAAATTTCCGAATTTAGCATAAAATAAGAAGCATAACGGTTTATGTTGACACCGATAGTAAGCACGGAAAAGTCCTGAAGCAAATCAACCAAAACTAGAGGATATTAAAAGGATCATTAATGGCAATAAACGGAATTTGATGCTTCAAAATTTTAAAATACAGTTTTTACAAGATGCTACTTGAAGGTTTGGTTGTACCCTTATATCCCGATTTCCATGAGGACTGCTAGCAATTTTTGGCCTGAAGGCATTTGGATTACGCTCCAGTGTAGCTTCAACTGCTTCGCTTCTGGCGGCTTCATTTTCAACATTGTTGTGACAATTCACACAGTTGCATCCATCACAATATACTCCAGATGCAAAGCATTCACAGTACCTGGCCACAAAAATATGACAGAATAAAATCATAGTCCATACCTTCTAAGTCAAATTTTCACACGCACGATCATGCAGGCATGCACACACAATACAGTTAGAGAATTCGAACTTTTCACTGTCAAAAGATGTTGACTGTGATATCTAGAAAGCCAAAAGCTTTGCACAATTCACATACATGTACATTTTCTCCAGTGAGTGAATCAAAAATATTACACAGTCAAAGGAATATATAAATTGCCACAGATGTACAGGTATGATGAGTCAGAAACCCCAAAAGAATGCATCCTAGTTACAAGAGTCTTGTAGGGAATGTAAAGAATTTTTCTCATTTGCATGTGACTCCCTAAATTCGATAATATTAAGTTATGAACATTCACATAAGCTGCCTCCAGCCATTTGTTTATGTAATAAGTGGAATATATATCTGAAATATTTTCACACACAAATGTTGATAAGTAAAAGATATAATTTAGCCTCAGTGAATAAATTAGTAGAGCTGATTATGTCTTCTTAATGCTACAAACCTAGATTAAGATCTTTAAATTGATCCCTCAGTAAGCACAACTTTTATAGACTAATAATATCCCTTTAACATATTATAATGGTACAATAACTCCTCTACATCACATCTGCGTAAAATAATGGTAGTAATTAAATCTACATGTAACTAATAACGAGTTAAGAGATCTGACTATGCAAAATCAGTTCCCAGACTTTAGCCAATAAAATGTTGGAATAAATTGCACAGTGAAATGACAGTCATCGAATCTCACTCCTAATAGTTTGAACTCAAAAAGTAGACAACTCCTGAAAGCACTACGATATTTGAAAGGGCCACTCCTCCTCCTCTCCCCTTACCCACCCGAAACAAAAGAAAAATACAAAAAAATCAAAGAAGGAAAAGAAAAGAAAAGGCTTGTCAAGAAAAGAACTATATATTGATATTGTCATGTCTAGTAAAAATGGTAAAAATGACCTCCATTGCACTCTTTCTTCAATTTGTTTACTCTTTCGCTAATGTATTTGCTGTTGATTAAGATGCAAAATATACTCCATGAATTTCACAAGTAAAATGCATGAAAAGCTGCAACTACTTACAACTTCAAACATCGTGAGTGTTTGCAGTTACACTGCTTTTGCTTTTTTGGAGTACCATCTTTTACTTCATTTACGTTCTGCCTTGACCTAGCTCTCGGGGATTCGGGTTTCCTGAGGATATAATGAGCATCAATTATAATATATTACCAAAAGAACTGCCAATCCAAACCATGTTTTGCAAATGAAAGTGTCTTCCTATGTATATTATATGGTATATTAAGCATTGAATTAACCATAAGTAATTCAATCGGGCAAATCGAGGTGTTTCCTTTTGAACAATGGGAAATTAAAAGAAATTACATGAAAAACCATTTAGAATTAACTTTAATCTTTTGATCCACATACGATGTGGACAGATGAGCATATTCTCGGGTGCATGAGCAGATAATTATTCATCTCTAACGGGAATGGAAACAGGGATATACAACAATCATTAAAGGAAGCTTTCCCTTTGTGTTTGTTTGTTGGGGGTTTGGGAAGGGAGGGGGGGTCGCAGAACCGTTTACTGACACAGAAAGAGCACAAAATATGAAGATGGAAACAAGTAATAGCAATAAATGCCCAGATTTATCACAATCAATCCATAAAACCAAACTAGCTCATCTACTAACTTAAAAAATATTTGCACGCAGTTAAATATCACTGGATTCGACAGAATTGTGTGTAACCCACCCGGCTAAATCAAACTGGAAAGTGCTAGAAACATTGCCAAAACAAATTCACCCATTATTTTTTAAATATTCTGCGCCAACGAATAATTGAATTGTACATTTGAGGTCCATTAACCACTCCTATTCCCACAATTTTCTGAGACAAATAATAATCAAATTGTCCATTTGAGGTCCATTAACCACCCCCATTCCCTCTGTCAGCCGGGGAGAGAAGTTGAGGACATCGTTCTCAAAATCATTTATTCTCTCAATGTTGGTATCATTCGAATGGTGAAGTATGATCAATTAAAGCACGAAAGATTAAAACATTGTAATCGCAGTGAACAAATTAACCAACATACCCCTATGTGTGACACGTTCATAAACCTCAGCTCCCAAATATTGAATTTCTCACTAAAAAAGTTAAACTAATCAAGGACATTCAATAGTGCAAAAGAGACTAACACAACAGGCCGCGCAGAAGGATGACTAGATGGCGGAGGTTGTTGCATCGACATAAGTACCATCTGTGGCTGCAGCTGCGGTGGCTTCGGCAGCTGTCTTGGCTTCACTAACTGTGGCTGCTGCGGTGGATGGCTCGGCTTTGGTATTTGCTGTGGCTGATGGTGCTCCATCATCGTCACACTTGCTGATGTCAATGCGCCACCACTGAAATCCAGCTGTCTGGCCGGCTTCCTCGCAGAAATATCCGTTGCCGTCTCTACCGGAGTAGCCTCCAGTTGTTGTGAACTTTTTGGAGGGAGCTCCCCTCCCTCCTGCTCCATTCAAAAAATCGAAAACAACGAAATCCACCAAATAACAAACTTCTATAATAAATCCAATAAATAGAAGTTGAATTTAAGTGTATTCTTCACAAGAATCCCCGAAATCGAACGAATTTGAAACAGAAATCTCATAAAATCATTAAACTTGAACGAAGCATAATTTCATTATTTCATTGCTCGCGTAGCTCAGATTCAAACGAAAAATCTGTCAAAACACTATTGTACAAAATCCCGCTTCCGCTAAACCTCAATCAAAAACCCACTCGATCCGTGTATATGTTCAAAAATCCATATTCGTATACGTATATTTGTGTATGTATAGGAGACGAGAGAGTGAAGAGGGTAGGTGCGTTTGAGTCACTCCTCCCTCTCTGGCTGGGTTTTGAAATTCAATTTTTGTAAATGACGGTGAGATTATCTTTATTATCTAATCGTACGGTCCAATTTCGAAAATTGCATTTAACGGCTGAGATTCGTGGAATTTAGATGTGAGGGCTTTAGCCGTCGGATTATGGAGGCCTTGTTTTTTCCGGGAATCTGTTGGAAAAAATGGCGTGCGTTGAGAATTATCAAGTGTGATCAAGTCCAATTTAAAGATAAAAGGTGACAACCTAAGTGGCGGTCCAGATTTTCTTCAAGTAATTGACGAATGAGATTGAGTTGAACTGGTATACTTACACTACAGTGTTTGGACTATGGAATATTGACAGAAACAAATGATGCTACTCGTTGACTTCAAATTTGTTTCCACATAAATATTTATCCTTAAAAACTTACAGCTTTTTCCAAGCATGTGTTTGATTTTATATATATACTTCCGAATAAAAAAGTTTATTCTAGAAGTAATTCTTAGACAATGAAAGCTATGTTAAAAGTTAAAGTAGTGACTGATTTGCATTTTCATTTTCAAAACGATTTTTAATTTTTCTCGAAAACGGGTCGTTTTCGACATTTTAAGCATTTTCGACATTTATAACTGAAAATGATAAAAAATCGTTTTGCATTTTCAGTTATAAATTTTAACTCGTTTTCGAAAATACGTTTTCGAAAACAACGGACCAAACGCGTTTTTCGCGTTTTCGAAAACCGAAAACGAAAAACGGAAAATTGATCGAAAACGGCAAACCAACAACGATCTAAAATTTTCAAACGCATTTTCACATCACCATTCAGATTGTGTCACATAAAGGAAATGTCAACTATAACGTAAAGCAAAATGTGCATTTAACATTTTCCTGTAAACATAACTTTTGTTGTAATGGAAATTCAAAAAATCTCCTAATAAAGCAACGACATTTGCCAAGCATAAGCCCTTTTCCCATCATTCTCCAATTGTAGTTCCATCTCATATATCGGGCTTAAGGGAAATGGGAAACTCTGAGGAAAGTGAAGATTTCAACACGTTTAGAAAAGTTTCATGTTATTCCAATTACCAATGGACTTGGATAAAACCTTAGGATGAAAACAAAACGATCTCTATCATTGATAAGCATCACAACACACAAGTACCAAAATAAATTAGCACGCAAAGATGCTCTAAACGTGACAAAGGATCTAACCAAGCCTGATTCGTTGACCAGGGGCTTAGCTCGATTTTTTCCTTGACGAGCTTTCCCCCTCTTTCTAAAGATTTGAGATAACAATGAATCAAGACTGAAAATGATGTCACTGACAACAGCAAGTCAACGCCCGATGGTGTTAAACCCCTATTCGACAACTATTATTTACAAACTCTTTTTTCAACACTTATTTTCAACCACGTTCATAAATAAAATATTTTACACGTAAATCAAAAAATTCTCCTTAATTTTTAACAACACATCCTCCTAAAAGTCACCATTCAAAACTCTATTTCTTATAAATAATGGTTGTCAACTGGGGACTAAATAATGCTGATGCATACACAATTGACAAAAGCAGTTAAGAACACTCAGCGAATCCTCGAGTTACCGTAGAACGGCCCCGACTAATAAGATAAAATGCTAAAAGCACAAAACTGCAGAGTAAAAATTTTGATCCTCCGTGAACATACTGAACAGTAATCAAGCTGTTAACATGAAATGATTCTTAGCCAACTCTCAACACAAAGCACATGCAACTTTACGCAAAGAGAAAATAAATACGTAATACTTGTGCAACATCCCTCTCTAAAAATCGCAACATACAGATATGATATCTGTAAGGCTTCGTATCACCAGCTAAAATGCCTCCCGTCCAATTCCACGCCGATCATCTCGGCCCCGATCCATGAATACGTCGCGGTGGTAATCTTTAGGTGGTGGCCCACCTCTAACAGGAGACCTCCTTCTTTCCCTAATATCTCGAGCCCATTGGCCACGAGCAGGTGCTGCTGGAGGTGGAGAAAGTGGTCGCCTCTCATACCCCCCTCTCCTCTCATTAATGAAGCTATCCCTTTCACGAGCTCTAAGGCCCAAATCTAGTGGTATTGGTCTATCGAACCTGTATCTATCCCTGAAGTCATTTACAGGGAAATCCGGTTCATCTCTACGGATTGGAGGCTCAAGGAATCTGCCTTCATTTCTGGGAGGGGGGGCAGCTCTTAAATCTCGAGGACCATCTCTGGCCCAACCACGAGGAGGTGACCTATAGCCATTCATGATCCTTCCAGGAGAACGATCCATTGGAGGACCAGGAAAACGACGAGCAGGAGGCGGGGGACCGGGATATCCCCTCCTCGGACTCCCAGAAGGTGCATAACGGAACCTGTTGCAGTTGTTGCAGTGCTCACGCCTAGCAAAATTCAAGTTTTTACATCTGGGACATCAAAGGAACTGCTTTAGACGTAAGAAAGTAGGTTGCTAATATTAGAAAAAACAGTCTTTGGGAATGTGAAAGAATAAAACAAATGCAAAACCCCATAGTTCCATTTCCCTATCGCCACATCTCAAATGCTAAGAAAAATTCTGTTTCATTTTGCCTCCACAAGTTTTAAATCTATATGAACACAGCTGTGAATAAATGCCAGAGAAATTTCCTCCTCCCACCAAGCACACGCGTGCAGAAAAACAAAAGAGAAGATCCCTTTTGAAAGATCAGCAGGTAGGGGTTATCAAACTTCAGTAGAATGAGAACCTGGTACCAAGACTATACGCATAAATGGTCTTCTTGAACAAAAATGAAACTTCATGCAGGAGAAAGACTAGTTGCATAATAGCAAATCATAAATGCACATTGTTTATGCCCAGCAGATTTTATTTTTTTTTTCAAATATTTTAATTTTAATTTTGTCCATACATGTGGGATTCTTGGAGAAAATGTATGATAACTTGAGGGATACATAATATGCAACTGCACGCATAAAGCACCACGACATCCTTAAAAACAACTTATTTCCATGTGATGCTCCAAATTAATATTGGATTAAATGAATCTGCAGACGTATCTTCCAACAGATAATGCGCAATGATTTTTGCTCAAACGTGTTAATTTACCAAGACAAAAGCATATTAAGTAAAATCCCAGAAAGATCAAGTCAAAAGGCAAGGGTAAAAAAGTACAAAGAGAGCAAAAAGAGAAAAGGAAGGACTTACAAGGGATCTGGGCAAACCCAGTCTCCTTCTCTTGGGCGCACATTAGGATTATTTCTTGTCAAACCTTCACCTCTGAAAGGTCCAGGACCATATCCAGGCCGGTCATACACTCTACCAAACCTGCCACCACCCCTCCCACGGCCATAAGGAGGGGAGTGATCACGATATCTACCAAGATCTCTCCCATTTCCAAATCCACGACCACGTGATGAAGCACCAGAATGATCAAAACCAGTACTATAGCGATGATCTGCATCCCTACGTCGCACAGGTGAAACAGAGCCTGCACGTATTCTATAACCTGAAAAAAGCCAGTGAAGCCCAAAGCTATAAACACCCAATCACGTGAGTACAAGTCACCTAAGAATAGTGTCCTATACAAGCCAATGTGCAACCCAAGAAAAGCGAAGGACAAATTGAAGTATGTCAAGAAACAGTTTACCACAACTGGGAGAATCTCCTTGTCAAAAATACTAAGAAATAAGATACTAGTGTAGAAGAGCGTAAAAACCAGCCAATAACTTCCTTGAAATCGCTTCCCAAGTATGTGTTGATGTTACCAGTAAAATACTGAACCAAACAAGAAACACTGTAATTATCCACACCTCAGAAGATCAGGATTCAAGATCCTTGGGTCAAAAACAAGCTAAGTTTTACTAAATTGGATGGCAGAATCAAATATGACAACCATTAAGCACTAAAAATTAGTTATCTCTAGACACCCCTGCAATATAAAGCCAGAACTCACTGATGATGACCAAGCCAATACTTGGTTATACACCAGGGTGACATTCAGATGGAAACTTCACTATTCCAATTGCAGAAACAGAGTTTACGCATGTTCATTCAAAGGCACACCGTTGATAGCATCCCAAATTATTTAGATCCAAGATCTTTGGTCATAGATACCCGAAGTGAAAATGAACCATGCGTACCCAAAACAGATAACAAAATCGTACCAAACATTAATGAAGAAACGAAAGAAATATCTGCTCGATGCCCATTTAACCAATCTTTGCCAAGATACCTACAGATTTATGGTTCCATTTTCCATGTAAAATTCAGAATCTAAGTGAATCCAGAAAACACTGTACAAAAGAATGTGATCCATTTAGTCACAATTCTGTCTGCTCTCACATAATTTTTTCCTTTAAACAGCCCAATTAATCCACAGTTAACCTTTCAAACATTTTAGTTTTGATCAACCCAAACTTCATCGGACTAGAAATTTATTACTTACCTGAATTTCAAGGAAGGGCATTTCCAAAGGTAAGAATCCAACTCAAATCAGATATAATCAGCAGCCAACATATCTGCTTTTATGTAGCAATTGCATTCCTCACCCCTCATCATCCTTATATTCTCCCCCAACTTACCAGAGATTTTAACAACTATCAGATTTACTGTTAGTTGTATCTGAATGCTCAAACCAAACAGGACGTCTTCTATGAAAACTTTTACATGACCAGCACACCTTACTTTCAACTGAGATGCAAGGCTAGTCAAAATTTAATCCCATGAAAAGAAACAACATATACCACATTCACCATAACCTTAGAGCATCAAACATATTTGTATAACCACATGGCTTGTCAATGAAGTAATACCATTAGTTCAAAACTCATTTGCCACAGTCATGTTATCATTTAAAACCCCACACCAACATGCCTTCCTCAATACCCAAGTTCTTGCACCAGGCAACATTCATGGCTGAAAATAACAACAGCAAAATTCATTCACCATTCAGTAGTCCATAAGGGACATTGCTCTGATGCACAACACAAGGCACTGGCAAAGAGGGTTGCAAGCACACTAATCCTTGAAAATGAGGAAACAGACTGCTTTACATATAAAGTATGTCAAAGCAAATGTCATTAGTTGACATTAATTACTCCAAAAATATTCACGGACTCGTAAAATTTGAATTAAACGCTATAATTTACAAGATATCAAAGAGGAAGAAGAAATTCATAAAAGAATGCAGTATCAAAAAAACATTAGTGTTAATATATGCCCATTTCCTCATAATAGCATTAAATTGAACTAAATGCATTTTAGCCTAAATATGTAATAGGCGACCGCATACATGTCATGATAAAGACTCCTATATCCTAGAAAATTATCATCTTAAGTTTCGAAATTAAAAGCAATGACAATAGTTTAGCCAAAATTCAGACACACACTGTTACATAACCTAGACAATTCACTAGCAAAACAATGACAATCAGATAATCTCTGAATTAGCACACGCCAGCATGGTCTTAAAAACCCCAATTGAAAGTCGCCTAAAGGACTGCCTCAAAGTGAGACGTGCAAAAAAAGCCTCAAGGCATTGCTCGTAAGGCAATTCTGTGAGACACATGCCTCATAGCACCCCCTTAAGGCTTATGGCCCAAAAAACCTAAAATTCTAATTAGTGCTGAACAACGAAATTGTCAAAATCGAACTGAAAATCGTTTTTTTGAACTATTGGTTTGGGTCCACATGGACCCATCAATATTTTGATTTTGAATCGAACCAAACTGTTTCAAAGTGGTTTGGTATAGATTTCAACTTTTGCAAACTGTTCACCAAAAAAATCTGAAAATAAGTTAATCTAACTTTTATCCAACCCAATTAAAATTAATTACATCCTAGTTAAAAAAATACATCCATATTAGACATAACTCATTAAACTTAATATCTAAATAGACAACTATTCATCCCAATTAATTAAATCATAACAATATACACATCCACCATCACAAATGTGAATGTAAAATCCTTAAATTGAGTGAAGTGGTGAACAACTGCTATTGAACTATAGTTGTCGATCATCCATTATAATTTACTAAATAACTAAACCTAAATTTTAATTCAAACTTACATGTTTCTTTTCGTTATACTAATAATTTTCAAGAATTTCGCCTAAATTTTCAAGTCAATTTATCCCTTTTTTAGATAATTGTTTGCTATATTTTATTGGTACTTGTGTTGTCCCTAAAATTGCTAAAGATGTGCTAGCTATTCAAATATCCACAATTGTTTCTAAGTCAATACTCCTGACTAGTGGTCGAATTCTTGATTCATTTAGGAGTTTGTTGAGGGAGTTAGTTGAGTTGAGTGCAAATATGGTTGAGGTGGTGATTTGTCCTAAAAATTGAATGCACCTGCAGTGATTCTTCGATATTGGATGGGATTGAAGCATTGAATGATTCACAAAAAACTATAGAATGTATTATCGTATTTGATCTTTCTATTCATTTTCTTTATTAGTTATTTTATACCATTTAACTATAATCAATGAATTCATGTACTATATTTTTTTTATAGAGTATGAATTGTGTTACAACTACAGATGTTGCGATAATTAGTATTGATTAAGAGGTTAAAATATTTCTATCATGTTGTTAAATTATAAGAATTAGAATTATAGAAATTTCATTTGTAATATTTTTAATGATACTATTTATATTTTAACGTAAAATTTTATATTAATATTTATGATTTAACTTATTCGATATATATTGATTTTTTCTTTGTTAAACCGTAGTCTTAAATCGAACCAAACTGGAAAAAGTGATTTGATTTGATTTGGTTTACAAATTGAAGTGGTTTGGTTTTGGTTTGAAAAATTGTCTCAAATCGCCCAAATCGAATCATGTTCACTGATTAAGCCATTTTGAGGATAGCCCCATTGCCCACTTAAAACATTTAAAAAAAAAAAAAATTGTTTCTGTTGGATTTTATGCACAATAATAAAGAAATGAAAAAGAGAATTCAACACAAATGTTTACGTGGTTTGACAGTGTGCCTACGTCCATGAAAGCCTAGCGGAGATAATTTTATTCAGTATGAAAAATAGGGTTACAATATTATTATTTATAGTAACCCAAGCTCATACAAGACTTTAAGGTCCGTACAAGAAAAACCTTGTACCATACCGCGGGGGCAACGCCAACCCATTCATCGTCCCTGGCAACGAAACAGTGAATTAAACCCCACGGGGATGATGTCTTCACTTCACTCCGATATCAACCTATTGATCCAGTAAACCTGTATTCCACTCTATATGAGCTACATACACAACAATCTCCTATTAATCATCTTTGGGAATAGTCCACTACCCCCACCAACTAACTAAAATAGCATCTTTACATATTTTTCTTCGTTTGTTTGCACACTTCAAATCATTCTATTTTGAATTCTGAAGATTATTTATGATGTATTATGAGCTTATTTTGCATCTTAACCTTTGTTTTAAGCCCCATTTTGGGGGAAAATGTATTTTAAGATGGTATTTTTTTAGAATGCGTCATTAAAAAAAATATATATTATTCAACTAACGTGTAAAATTACTTTATTGGAGAATGTGTGATTAAAAATGAGTTTTTGAAAAGGGGGATCAAACAAAGGTTTAAATATTTTTTTATATTTTTGGCTAACGACGAGGCATACGCCTCAACAAGCCTCATTAGCCAATTACGCATTTTAAATGTTCTACACAACCATTCTCATAGATAAAATTCCTAAAAAAAACATTTATTTGGTATATTAATCCAAAAGATTTTCAAGTAAAATAAATGAAATTCAATATAAAGGGCACCAACATTGAACTCTAATAATGTTGAGAAGTCAACATATTTCTTCTCAATATAAAAAAGACGATAAAACACGCATAACTGGTAAAATCACCAAACTGCCAGATAAGATGAGCATTGTATAACAGGACTATTTCAAGAGATCAATACAGAAATATGGTGTATTCCTAGGGAGATCAGTGGTACATATCTTCTTATTGTGTTCATATTAAAAGCAAGTTCAGGCTTGTTTATTTATCTGAGAAGAGAAAAGACTGGGGGTTAGAAGTTTTGAGCAAGAGTTGCTCGAGTTTGAATGGAGCTACAGACTTAAATTTGAGCTCAAACTCGAGTAGCCCGCATACTCCTCAGTAGCTCTTGTTGAACTCATCAAGTTCGCGCTCAAACCCCAAGACAAGATATTAACTCTATAAAGCCCCAAAATTGAAACATATAGAGCACCCAATTTATTTTCATTGTTTCAAAATTCCACAACAATGGTACTTGCATATTTCGACACAAATTACTATCATTAAAGAACCAAATAAAAACAAATATTTCTGCACTAATCAGGTAACGTTGAATCCCTAAACAAAAACAGGAAAATAATAGTTAAAAAAATAATAAGAAAAATAGGTCACCCGGTCAAGAAAGAATACTAACAAATAAAGCAAAATCAGGTAATAATAGAAGAGACACAAACCACGGCCATCGGAAGCGTATCGATCGGAACGAGGGTACGGAAGCGGATCACGACGCACCTCGCCTGGTTCGTAGTCGCTTCCAGCACCACCGCCACCGGTGGCACCTCCTCCGCCAACGCTGTCAGTGGGACGTATAACGAGGCTGCTTAGCAGTGGATGGTGTGACGTCGTTTGGTCTTTCTCTCGTGACCCCATCCTTTTTTTCCCTCTGTGTTTTCACGCCGTGATTTTCTGTGTGCCCTAGGAATGTTTGTCAAAAGGGCGAAGTTGGTGTACGTGGATTTTGAAGATGGGGTGGAAGTATCAATTTTAGATGAATTTTACTTTGGACACGCGGGATTTTGGATCTGACGAGATAATAATCCAAATGACCATTGAACTTTGCAAAAGGTTTTTACAAGGTCATTGAACTTTAAAAATTATTCAAATCATCACTAAACTTTACATGAAGTTTCTATAAGGTCACTGAACGGGTGATTTTTAAAATTCAATGACCTCATGAAAATCTTTTACAAAATCTAAGGATGACTTTGATGATTTTTAGAATTCAATGACCCCATAAAAACTTTTACAAAGTTCAATGATCATTTGGATTATAATCTTAGATCTAATCAAATATAAGAGAGTACAGTGAAAAGCATAATTATATGAAATGTATTAATTGTACATAATATGATTCTATCCCCCCACGTGGAGAGAGACGCATTTCGAATAAATTATATTTTATTAGAAGTAGATTACCGTTCATTTGAGAGGAGTGAACATCGTTATGAACGGTACGTATAACATCACCCTAATTATATTGGGAGCCTCGAGTCTTAAAGAAAATTAGTAAGGATTGGTTTTTAAAACTTCTTTTTTTTTTTTTTTTTTGG